CCGGTAGCTGGGACTACAGGCACACTTTACCACCCCTGACTAATTATTTTATTTTTTGTAGAGACAAGGTCTCTCTGTGTGCCCAGGTCGTTCTCGAACTTCTGGGCTCAAGCAATCCTCCTACCTCAGCCTCCCAAAGTGCTGGCGCTGCAGACATGAGTCACCACACCTGGTCTCTTGGGGCAGTTCTAAAGCCCCTGGATTTGCTAGTACCACTGTCCCATGTGCACTGGAGAGCGATGGGTCTGGGCTTCATTCAGGGAGAGGGTTGGAGCATGCTGGGTGACCACTGCACTCTGAGTCCTGGGCGCAGAGAGTCTCACTGATAACAGCCTGTGGCATGTGGTGACATCCAGTGCGGCCCATAATGAATCTTCCTGTTAGGAATGAGTTTGTGTGTGCAAGTGTTTCTTGCATCCAGACCAGCAACTGTCATTGAAGACTCCATTTCCTGAGGGTTGAGGGGCAGAGAGTGTGGGGTGTGCTTTTCCCAGAAGCCAGATCTCGAATGAGTGGCCCCAGGCTCATGCATCCTGGGTTCATCTTGGCTTTGCCAGACTGAGTGACCAAAGGGTAAGTACCCTCAACCTCCCAAGCTCAGCCAAAGCACATTCAGCATCTTACATGGGTTCTCCAGGCTGCTGCCCCCATGTTTTGAATCAAAAAGGAGGACTTTGACCTGGACATTCTCAGCAAGAGGAACCCCAAGTAGGATGTGGTTTTACAATCAGAGGAAGTGGATACCAACCGTGGTGGTGTGGCAGCTCTGTGATGCGCAGCTCCAGCTGTTCAGAGCAGCCTTGGCATCCAAGCCAGGGTGAGGCCTGGGCCAGTTGGCACCTGAAGAACATCTCTCTCAAACAAAACACCTCCTCTCACCTGCTTTAAAAAGTCATTTACAAGCTGGGCTCGGTGGCTCAGCCTGTGATCCTGCGCCTTGGGAGGCTGAGGTGAGTGGATTGCCTGAGCCCGCGGGTTCGAGACCTGCCTGGGCAGGCGAGACCTCATCTCTACCATAAATCAAAAAATTAGCCGGGCATAGTAGCGCACGCCTGTAGTTCCAGCTACTTGGAAGGCTGAGGCAGAAGGATCGCCAGGGCCCAGCAGCTCGAGGCTGTGGTGGCCATGATTGCAATCCAGCCTGGGCAACAGAGTAAGACTCCAACTCAAAAAAAAAGTATAAAAATCAACCAGGTGCGGTGGTTCATGCCTGCAATCCCAGCACTTTGGGAAGTAGAGGTGAGAGAATTGCCTGAGTCCACAGGTTCGAGACCAGCCTGGGCAACATGGTAAAACCTCATCTTTACAATACGTTAAAAACTAGTTCCAGTGGCTCAGCCTGTAATCCCAGCACTTTGGGAGGCCGAGGCAAGTAGATTGCCTGAGCTTGCGAGTTTGAGACCTGCCAGGGCAACTTGGCAAGACCTCGTCTCTACAATAAATAAAAAATTAGCCAGGCGTGGTAGTGCACACCTGTAGTTCCCGCTACTTAGAAGGCTGAGGCAGAAGAATCGCCGGAGCCCAGCAGGTCGACACTGGAGTGACCATGAGTGTGCATGGCATGCCAGCCTGGGTGATAAAGTGAGACTCCAACTCAAACAAAAGAAAACAAAATGGTAGTTCCAGTTACTTGGAAGGATGAAGCAGAAGGATCACCTGAACCCAGCAGGTCAAGCTGCGGTGGCCTTGTGCGTGCCTCTGCCCTCCTGCCTGGGTGACAGAGTGAGACTCTGACTCAAAAAATTAAAAATTAAAAAATAAAAAATAAAAATCATAAGTCACAAAGGAAAAGATTCATATACTTGCCTGCAGCGACATGGAAAACTTTTCTTACCAAAAAGACACCAAAACGAAGTGAAAAGCTGACTTGAATTGGAAGATATTTCCAACTTAATCAGTAAACAAATGGAATCTAGAATATAGAAAGGAATCCTGCGCACCATTAAGAAGGGGAGTAGCCCCACAGGAAAGTGGGCAGTGGTTACCATGCATAGGCTATCTGCAGAGGGCAAAGGTTTTATGGATAGCCAGGAAACAGATTTTAAAGCAAGAGACCACTTCATTCCCATCAGATCGGCAAGAATGAGCAAATTTGCCAAAACCAAGTGCTGGTGAAGATACTGAGATGAGACACCACACCACAGGGGTGCGTTTGCTAACAGGCATCATGGCTTTGAGGACGATGTGGTGATATTGAGTAAAGTTAACAATGTGTGTAAACTTATCATAGGTTATACCACAGGTGACTTTTGAGCACTTGAAGTGTGGAAAGTAGCCGGGCTTGGTGGCTCAGCCTGTAATCCCGCGCCTTTGGGAGGCTGAGGTGAG